GCCCTGGGTTCCGGGGCTCTGTCGCATTCCACTCCCCCTGCGCCCGTCTGTCAATTTGTCTTTTCATTTTTCCTTTGCCGCTTATTTTCTGGCGCTGCCGTTGAATGCATTTTTAATTGGCTTCAAATTTCCGGCCGAGCCCCCGAGTAAGACGAGGCACAAAGGGGAGAAAAAAGAGGTTGAGTTTTATTATTAAACGCTCCGGGGTAGTGGGCAATAAGCTCAGGAATTGATTGTAAACTAAAGGACATGAATTAAATTTTTAACTCTATATGCGCAGAAACTTTAACCAAAGCTTTCTAGTGATTGGAAACTTTTTTTTTCACAATGAACAGTTTTGTATAAAATGTATAAGTTCATTTTTTAATAAAGCTAAATTTGCTGCCACCTACTTCGCATGGAGAGTTTCTAATTTATTTAAATTTGAGTGTCAGCGAAATTGCCATGGGACTATCAACGGAAGCGATCAAATCGCTGTGCCGTACCTTTCCTGTCTGCTCCTCATAATTCAGAGCACCTCGCCCACAATTCCCCGACCTGGTCAGACAAACTTTGCCGGACTGGGAGAAATCTTTCAACTTTGTCTGTGGCAGGAAAGTGCTTTCTCCCCCCAGCCCTTAAATCGCACTTTGAACCACTTTGGCAGCGTTTATTGATTTCAATGATGACCCCAAATTGCAGCAGTGAAAGTTGACCACGCAGCTGGGGCCTTGGCCATTTGCGGCTGCCGGAAATGAGGTGGGGACTGATGAAGAGCAAGGTGAAAACGAGCAGAAGGCCTTGACATTTTGCGTCCTTTGGCGTTTCACGAGAGCTTGGCAAAGTATTTAATTAAAATGAAACGCAATCACACACATACTTTGACTAGAACACACATAGATATACGTGTGTGCAGGAAGCTCACTTAATCCATCTGCACTTCTGGGGAATACCTTCGCTGCTGCATTTTGCGGCAATAAATTCAAAACCAACTGCGTGTGATGCTCAACAAACTAGCAACTAACACACACCGATCCAAATGGGCATAGACTGGCAAATACACACACACACACAGAGGCAGGCATTCGCCTGGAAACACTCATACGCAGTGTGGCCCAGTGCAGTGCTGATCTCTCCTGAGGGCTCCTCTGCACATTTTTGTTACCAAGATTTTAACTGTCAGCAAGTTGGGCGACTTAATTTGAATTTACGGCACCGCCAGGGGCGCATTTCTCGCCTCTCTGTCGCACACTAGCCCCCTCTCGCTCTCTGGGGGGGCCTAGCTATTATTTTGCACAAACAGTATTAAATACTGGGGTTCTGGTACTGGTACTGGTTCTAGTCCTGGTTCTGGTCCTGGTTCTATCTCTTTGCTGGTCTCCAGGTCGAGGTCTGTCCAAGTAAACCTGTGTTCGTGCCTGCTCCATGGCACAGTTGGTGTTTGTTTGTGTGTTTTTCTGGGTGTGCGTTGTGTGTGGGTGACAATAATATTCAAATTTCACTCTGTTGCCGTTCCAGTGGGCGGTGGGCGGCGGGTAATGGCCGCTGGGCGTGGCAATGACACTTTTACACTCCATATATCTGCCTAGGAAGTCGCCACTCGCCTGGTTACCCCTTCAAATGCACCGAAAAAAGTGGCTAACCAGAAGACTTTAACATGTTTAAAGGCTTTACAATTTTTAAATAATAATAACAACTTCATGCTAGATTTTGTTCAATACAGATAAGATACAGACGGTTAACTAACATAACCTATGTGTTAAAATGTACATCTTAAAATTCATTTGAATAAATTAAAATCGCTTTGCTAATATTTAATATTCCTTTTTTGGACACACATATTTTATCGATATTAATTTAATTTAATTTAATTCAAAAGTGTATTTTGCTAATTTATAATATTATTTAACGCAGCGCAATGCTGTGTTTTCTAATCCAATTAAAAATGTTTTATCACAATATTCCTTTTATTTATGAAAAATTCTCTGCTAATAGATTATGGTTTCGGTTAAGTGTAGGACATAATTTAACCTATTTTATAACCAAACCCAGCCATTTATTTGGCTCTTAGTAGTAAATGAAAACATTTCATTCGGCTCACACAATAAGAATAAATATGTTTGTGGCTTATAAATAGCTCCGGCACGACTTTCTGCAAGTGCACTTCTCAAGCCCCGCTTGCGTTTTCATATTTATGTGTCTCCTGATAGCGCCGTTGCAGTCAAAAGTTTTTCTTCTAGCTCACAGTTTGTGTGTGTGTATGTACGTACGTATGTATGTATGCTAATACTTTAGCGCACATGGCAGGGCGCTATTATCGCGACTGCCACTTGGGCGTCGAACTTCCGTTCTGCTCCTGCGGCACTCCTCCTTTCGCCCGAGGATCTCCCACCATCGGCACTGAGCACTGAACACTGCACACTGAGCTTTCAGCCCTGAGCCCTCAGCTCGATGGCAGCCCAGAAGCATTTGCAATTTCGGTTTGCATTCGGGCCACAGTCTCTTTCAGTCTGCTTGGTGAATGTTGTAAAATGAATTTTACTTCATTTTGATATGTTCTCCCAGCTGGTTTTAGCACCAGGCACATAAATACTTCGGGGGATGTGTGGGGCGTTCGTTTCAGTTTGTTTTGCCACTATCGCAATGATAATAAATTTTATTAATCTGGCCGTCGCCCACACGCGGAGTGAAATGGATGGAGGAAGCGCCCACGCCCGACACTCGCTGATCAAGTGCTCAACTAGTCGAAGGCATTTGTGAGCGCGGTCGCCAACAAGGACGAAGGACGAAGGAGGACCCGTCGGTGTCGGCATCGGCGTCCTGCCACTTATTTTCATTTACATTTCGTGGCAGCTGCCGCCGGAAGACACCGCACGCCGCCGTTGCAGCTGCACTGGCGAATTTATTATGTAATTATTGTTGTGCATTCTAATTGCGTGGCGCATTTATTTGGCTTTCATTCTGCTCGCTCGGGGGAGTTTTTTCCAAATTAGCTCAGCGCCGATTAGCGATGCTGATTTTAAAAACAGAATGTAAACTCATACCCTTTTTATGATCTATGTAGCCGATCTCTGTTTATTTACTAAATTGGAGCTCAAGATGGAAATAATATTTAGGTAATAAGATAATCACAGTAAGAAAAAGTGTTTCATTTATTTTTTTTTAAACAACATTGAGATGTCGCTAGACTAATAGCTCTAATAATTACCTCATTCTCTTTCCATTTCCTCCGAATTGGCCCACTTTCAAAGCGTTCACCAGAATAACAGAAATACAAAATCCCACCGACCCGAGGGCAACTAAGTCCCAGAGAAATCTCCCCAGAAGGAAAACCAGAATGGAGTGTATATATTTTTGTGGCTCCGCGCAACTCGTGCAGAAGCGGACTCAACTGGCTAATCAAAAATTTATTTAATTTCTTGGCCGCTCAAGGGCTGGCCGCAGTGAAAGTGCGTCCGCATCCTGGTATCCTGGCATCCCGACATCCCGGCATCCCAGCCATCCGACATCCTGGCACTCAAACCCCCGAAGACAGGAGGCCAGTAAATGTCGGGCATCAAATTTTATGATGTCAACCATGAGCCGCTGCGATGGCCATGTGCTGCGGGAAATGCAGTCTAAAATCCAACAAATGCCGGAAATGCGCCGCTGCAGATGCCACAGCAGCAGCTATTGCGATTAAACTTTCCGCATTAAATATTTCGCCCGGACCCGGCAACGAAGTTGGTTTGCTGGCCAAGTGGAATTGGGACGCCGGGCGGATGTTGCGGCTGCCTTTTCGCCAAATCTAATTGCAAATTTCATGTAGCCACGGCCCACGGCATACGCCCACCCGACAACTATATAAACATTGTGGCCACTGGCAACTGTCATTTTTTTCTTGTCCTCGCTTCCCGTATGGCTGCAGTAAATCATGAAATTTATTTAGCAACATGCGCGCTCGTCGAGAAGCGCCGCAAAAAAACCGGCTAAATAAATTGCACAAATGTTGTCCGCACTTCGAGTGGCAACTGGAAAGTGGCAGTGGAAGGCCATGGCAACTTCCTTTTGGCCATTTGGCCAGCTAAACAATATTCCGCCTCCCCCGGGGCGAAGTGTCATTAATTTTGATGTGTTTTTAATTCGGTTTTGTTGGGCAAACTCATTGACAAAGCCTCGAAAGAACCAACACACGCCTCAGAGAGTGCAGCATGGAAATGCTGTTTGGGATTTAATTAAAACTAATGAAAACTTTTGTCCCAGCCCACTTTTTCGCCCATGTAGCCAGCAGTCAATCTTGCAATTTGTGCCCAACGACAAATGACAAGAGGCAGGACTGTTTTTAAGGTCCTGCAGCAGGACGCCTGCCAACTGCCAACTGGCACAAGCCAAGCCGAGCACTTGGCCGACATTTCACCAAATCCAGTCGAGGGGGCGAACTTCAGATTCGACCTCGGGGCGAGATGACAGAGGAAAGTTGAAAACACTTTGGCCACAATTGAGCAAACCGAACAGAATGAGCAGCAACCACGCACTCGAGGCCACCTCGGAAATGAGCAATGAAAGTGCGTGGCCGTGCAATTAGACAACTCCACCAGGAAGTGGCCAAAAAAGCCACCTTAATGCCAGGAAAAATTTACCAAAAGGAGCACGAGTTGAGATTCGAGAAAAGTTAGCAAGCAGTTACCGCTTAAATATGTTAAAAATCTGTTGCCAATTTATAGCAAAAAATAAAAATATAAATGTAATTAAAATTCTGAGAGCTGATAACATATATTTAATCATTGTTCGTTTAGTGATTAATGTAATTAATTACTTTATGGCAAATAAACAATTTAAACTACTCGATTGTCCTGAACAGAAAAAACAAACATTGATTGAGTTGTGTAAGTTAATGTTTTATACCTCTATTGTATGCATTATAAAACAATGAAGTGAATTGAAGCGAAATTATTGATCTTAACGTAATTAAAAACAGCAGCAACAGTTTGAAAAATGGATTACTTTTAAACCATTCCTGAAGTGAAAATACACAAATAACATAGCTTTAATTCAGGTCAAATTGTAATTCATAAATTTTAAAATATAATTAGAGTTTATATATCAGCGCATTTCATATAAACTATTTTTTAATTCATTGAAACCTTTTTACCATGCAGTTGATAATACTTGAGGTCGTTGCGATTGATACAATAGGCATGAAAAAATAATTCGAATCCTTTTTACGTTCAGCAAGCGAATTCCTTTAGCTTCTCCCTATCTGATATTCCCCTAATCATAAAAAATATATATTTATTTGTCAGTTCTTGAATTCCTTTAAAATAAATATAATGTATGGTAACGGAAATCCTATTAGTCCCGTGTTAATCTCTTTTTCTACCATGGCAATATCTAGCCGGGGCAGGAACTTTCAAGTAGGAGCACGGTCTTTTACGCAAATATGGGGACTTGACCCGCATAGAGGACGTTTCGGGAACGGAAATAGGAAGAAAAGAGTTCCCATTTACGCAACGAGAGCTTAAGGATAACTCAGCAACCTCCGTTCCATTAGCAGGAGAAAAAATATTAATGGATGGAGACTGGAAATCTTGGGGCTGCACAGAGGTCTTTCTTTCGCGGGATTTTAGATCTGTAATTGCGTGAACGGAGCAGTTGGAGGCACCTCCAGCCGGCTTAATGGTCACCATGAAGGAATACGAGGATCCCTCATCGAGAACCGAACCCTGCTCGTGGTGGAGCTGCAGTTTCATAAGGAGATCGCCAATCTGGCTGATGATCTGCTCATTTTCTGAAGTAACCTTCTGGCCGTCAACGGACTTTGATCTCTCGCTTCGGCTTATAGTCCCGGAGCTGGTAATTTTGGCCCTAATCCTTGCCCGGCGAGTAATTGGCAGTGTTCGGCTCTGCGACTGAGTTTTCGCTTCAGAAGCTTCTGGGGCAATGTCAGGATAATCCACATTTTTGTCACCATCACGCTTGATGTCGAAGGTGCCCTGCCGGCGAATGCTTGGACGTTCCAAAACTGAGGATGCGGCAACCACCTCCGGAACGGAATCCGCCAACAGGATCTGCTCCTGCAGATCCCTCAGCTGCTCAAGCTTACTGCGTATCTGCTCCAGATTGGAGGTGGTCTGCAACAGAAGCTTGCTTTCATTCAGTGCCACATCGGATATGGAATTGACCTTGTGTTCAGTTGTGTCAGAGGTGACTTCCTCATCTTCCTCCGTCCGAGAAATGGTGAGATTCCGCATATCCTCATTGAAACGACGCTCATCCTCTGCAGCTTTCAGCCTAGCCAGTTCCTTGGAGCTCAGGTTGATGGGCATGTCCAATTCTGGAGGTGGCGTCACATCCTCCAGTGGAATACCATAGTTGCCCCCTATCTCGTCCTCCACCTTTTCCATCCTATTCCGCTCCACTTGACAAAGGGTTGCATCCAAATCGATGAGATCTTTAAGGGCCATGCAGTCCACCAAGATGAAGGGAGCTCCCTGATCACCCACCTCGTGGGTCCTGTCATCGGTTTCCGATTGGAAATCCTCTGAGTTGACTACATTCGAGGATCCAGGTGGATCAGGACCAGGTGGAAGAACTCCGCGGCTCTTTTTCTTTTCCTTCATGAAGGCTGGGAGAATATTTTAATAAAGTATATTAAAACAAAAATAAGTAAGTGTTACATTTTAAATGTAAAGATATATGTAAATTTTTACAAGGTTAATTTAATCGTTAAAAATTTTTAATTAAATACCAGAATTAAGAGACAAAGAAAAAAGATGAAAATCAAAACTATATCAACGCTGTTTTCTCGCGTATACATACATGTATTATTATGTGTTTTTCAACCAAAATCGCAAGTCAAATTGGCCGCCCCAATCGCATTGTACTGCAATTGAATATGGCCAAGTCGGCAAAGCCGTGATTAGGCCAACAAAAGCACTCACCTGGTCGCCAGCAAGTCGATATTGCCGCTCCCACGGTTGTTTCGCTGTTGCCCCGGCAGCAAACAGAAATTTAAATCCCTCAAAAGTACTCGCCAAGAAAAACGAAATTGAAAAGGATAAAAGTTCTGCGTGCCCCGGAATCAACAGGGACGAGCCTTCAGCCCCTGATCCAACTCCTGCTCCTCCTTCAGCTCCTACCTCCTGCTCCTGGGCACTTGTGGCTGCCTCCGGCCAAATAATGGGTGAGGGCGGCAAGCTGAAACACAATCCGTAAACCAAAACTTTATTTTGTGCTGATAAAAACTTAAATGTTGCTGCCGCTGCCGCGCCACGCAATCGTAAATGTTTGATATCCCCAAAGGTTAACAATTTCCGTTGGCGCTTGGCTCTGCTTTGCTTTGGCCCAAGTTAGTTCTCCTTGTTTTCTTTATTTGGTCTTTCAAGAATTTTTGCGGTTGGCCAACTGAACCGCATATATAGGAATCTACACGCACATACCGTCTTGCTGGAGTGGGAGTGTCTTTGGGCTGTCTGTTCGACTGCTGGGAATGGGTTTCGGTTGTGTCTGGGACGGAATCCGGATACGGCGACTGCTACTTGGGGAAAGGCGTACTCAGTTCAATTTAGACATCGGTGGGGAGCCGGAAGAATGGCGAGTACTGACGGGCCTGGGCGACCGGGAGAATCCGGGAACTAGCTGGTGTTTTCAAATTTTGATGCTCAAAAGTTGTTTTTCGAAAGCCACTGCGCCTGACAAATCTGGCAATGCTTTTGGGGGAAAAAAACGTGATTGGGATTGGAGCTCTCATTGAAATTGCCTTTTTGGCCTAGAAGTTATAATAAACGTTACTTTAAAGTTGCAACATAATTTAGATAGCTTTATAAGCTGAATCCGAAAATATAGGTTTGGTGACCTTTCCTAATTTTACATGGTATTTGTTAGCCGGCTCGATGTCAAGGGCTGTTTAAAATTTAACTAAAAGAAAAGAAAAATATATGGTCATAAGACATTTCGTACATAAAAAAAAATGTGAATTTTATTATTTTTGTAAATAAATCTAACAATATTGACAACGTCCATCCTTCTCCTTGATTTTCTTTTAAACCATACAAACCACAAATATTTGTATGGCAAGATTCGATACTTTTATTAAAATCATGCAGATTAAATCTTCATTATTCCTGGAGGGAATAAAACCAATAATGTAAGGTATTTGTTTACAACATGCAGAATTGAATTCAAGAATAGTATCCTGTCGGAAGTTTTATTCTTCGTTTTTCCGCAGGGAATGTCCTTTCTCTTAAGCGTACGATATTCACAACCTCTCTCAGTGTACTAAAAAGCTCTCTCTCTCTCTTTTCTCTATTGCGCTCCGAGGACTCGTCACGAAGGACTCAGGACGAGGCATAAACAAATCAAGCTGATTCCATCCGTAGCCACTCAGTTGAAATCGTTGCGAGCAGGCGAAAGGACGTGCTTAGCGGTCGGTGGGCAAGAAATAGCATTCACATCGAGTAACAATCGGAGCCTTAGGTCGAAGTTCGTGTGCCAGAGTTTTTCTGTAACCGTAGAGGTGAAGGCGCGAAAAACACATTTGCGGCTAGTGCGACTTTTCCGTGTTTCTCCGTGTTTTTCCAGACCACCCCTTAAACGTGTGCGGGCAATTAAAGTCCACTGACTGATGGTCGCGCAAATGGCCATTTCAAATAGCATGTCGTGGCCGCGAGTGCATGTCGCAGTATGACACCGAGCACCGAATGCATGTGAGCCAGCCGAAGAGGGCAGAAAGTGTTTTTTGGCCAGCTCTTGTTCGCATAAGTGGAATTAGCAGCCAGCAAGACTAAAGGCACCCAAGGCAAGGCCAATGAAAACCTCATCAAAGGCAAGTGCTAATAAGTTCTGGGTAGACGGGCAGGACTACTAAGTAAAGTCGAAATGGCAAATGCGATGAATCTAATAATTGCAAATGAAGGCAAAAACCTGGTGGCAATATGTGAAGCCAAGGGAATGGCATTTGCTTGACAAAAACTAACCTCTACCGCAACCAAAAGGAATTCGCATACATATCAAATTTATGAAAGGCATCCTCACACACATCTCTGCAGGATTCTGTATAGGTGTGTGTGTGGGAGTCCTGACCTGGACTGAAATTTAATTATTTGTTTTCTATAGTTACTGGGCGAAAACGACAGGAAAAAGTACAGCTAGAACTATTGTTGGGGGTACTTTAATAAAAACAAATGTTAAACAATAGGTGGTCAGTGGTCACTTTAAATGGCTGGAAAATGTTCAATTTGTTCACAAAGCAGCAAAAATAACTAATTTAAAAGTATGAAATCCACAGGTCGACCAAATCCGAACTAAACCTTTTGATTCTAAAAGTTTTTACCTGGAGATTACTAATTCAAGACCACATCACTTCGCATCACGAACATGTTTTGAGAAAATAGGGGTCGAAGTATCAAATATTTGAACTACAGAGCCTTTTCGAAGTTTTATAACAGCTTAAAAGATATTTTACTTCAATGTAGAGCAGAAATATTTTTTTGTGGGACATCTGGTTTATTAATTAAAATATGTAAGCCCCGGCTAGTTTTTATCTCCTGTTATTTTTAGTAGCCTTATATTTATAAAGCCTGGTGTCCTCCACAAAAATCCGTAGAGAGCTTAAATCAGTTTTGCTGTAGATTTATTTTATTGAAGACATTATTTCAATTGATTTTAATGGCTGTGGAATCCATTGTTATAAAGAGTATTATTTTCATGTATTGAAAATAATATTGCTGTGCCAAACCTTAAGCGATGGTTATTAGTGAGCATCCAGGAAAGCCTTTAGCAGCATTCGATACCGACCCCTCAGTTTACAAAAGGCCCCCTGGGTGCTCACACATTGCGTGTGCTGGAGTTGGGTGCAAACAATGCATATTCTAATATGCTAAATGGTTGCCATTGTAACCACACCACACCCCACCACCACCACCCCCTGCGCTCATTGACCACAACTGAAATTATTGCCGGGCCGCGCAAACAAAGCACTACGGTTAGGAAAACAATAGCACTGTGCGGCCCAGTTGAGCCCGGCTCAATCGAGCTCGGAGTCGTCATAATTTCAATTAAAATTCAATTTAAATTATATGCAAAAACAAACAATGGTGTAAATTGTGGAGCTTGCCGGCGCACCCATAAAAGTCAATTCAATTATGCATTCAGCGATATTTATCAATCTGTGTACCCAACCCTCACACTCTTTTATGTATTTTACCCTTTTCAGTTCCATTTTCTCCCTTTCGATTGTTGTATTGATTGGCTGGGGAAAGGTAATCGACATTTCAATAATTCCATAAATAGTTTAGTAGTAACTTCACTCACCCAGCTGACCCTATTTTCTATATATTTCCATTTACTAAACTTTTATATTTTTTTTTTTCAATTTAGTTCACGCCACTTGAACGAACTTAAATATTTCTTCACACTTTGCCTTGTCGCCATCGCCTTTTACGGAAAGTTTTCCAATTATATGTCGCCTTTTTTTCGCCAAACATTTTTTCAGAGCTTCATATTTGCTTTTCCTCCCCCTCCTTTTTCTCTATTTTCCGCTCTCTCGCCGGAGAAAGTTTTTATCGTTGTGCAGAAAAAATTATGCTGGCATTGCCTCCACTCATATGATTGGCATCGCGGAGGCCCGAAAGTTTTCCCCTCCGGCAAATTGTTATCATAAGCGAAATCGCAGCACAACTGACGTTGATTTTCCCGAAATGAAAAATTCAGCACAGGCAATGTAGTTTAAATAAATGTCACTGTCTGGAGTTGGAACGAATAGAAACAAATTTCAATATGGGCCAAGCTAAAAGTCAGGTACGAATTTGCATAGGACTTGTTGATATTTTTTTTTCCCGGTTTCAGGCTAACGGCATTTGCATTTGCAACTGTATCTGAGTATTTGTATCTGAATATCTGTATCTCTGTATATGTATCTGTGTTTACTGCCATCCGCATGTTTCAAGATATGGCGTACACGTTATTTCACTTTAGTACATTAGGGCAGACTTCCTCCTGCCGGTGCGCTTAATTTCCGGCGCAGTCAACAATACGAATCCCCGGGAGGGAGTTGGATGGTCCTGGGATTAGGGATAGGTCTGCTCCTCGCTCCTTGTGTCTCCTGCTTGTTTAACTTTCTCGTCATGTCTTCGGAGAAAGCGGTAACCGGACTCAAACTGGAACCACAATTAGAGGAAACCTGAAAGAATGTTGAAGCACCCAACCGTACACTTAAATCAAGGACTCTTCCAGAGAACTACTTTATCTCCCCTCGCCATTCACCACATTCATTTGCGAGCCTTCACATGTCACAAGCGACCCTTTTCGCCTTTGTTCAATTAAGGAGCTTAAGTGGTTTTCTCATAATTAGGTTATCCGGATAGCTGGCGCGCTGTTGTCTCCTCAAATATTTATGCTCTCTCCCATTTAATTTATTAAAATGCAATTTAATTATTTCAATATTTATAGTACCTCCCCAGGCATCCTTTCTCCCCCTCAGGATGTCCAATCAATTTTGAGTTTATTCGCGCCACATGTAACATTTATTTTTCTTTTTGAGCATACAGCGAGAGTGTGTGGGTGCACGTGTCCTTGTGCGTATCATTCATACGCACCGTTGCCGGGAGCCAGTAGGTTAATGCCGAGACCTCTTGGGTGCCACATTCGCAGCCAACAAATCCTGCGTATAGCATTTAATTTTTTGACTTCCCTCGCAGCTCACGCGCCAGCATTTGTGGGAGCTCTGGGGTGGCACATCATCGGGCGTGGCAGGGGGCTGAAAAGCCCCACAAGGGGGAGAGGGGGATGTAAAAGGAGCAGGCGTGGTTGTGGTTACCGTTTCTGGCCCTTGAGGTACTCGGTGGCTGTAGCCCCAATGTTGCCTTGGCAATGCAAGAATTGCTAGTTGGTTAGGAATGCGTACACTGACACTAACTTGCTTCAGTTTGTAAAATAGTTTTAAAAGCAAAAGTTATATTTTAAAATATTATTAATATATTTGTATGGGATACACAAAAACATTAGATTTCGTAGATAATGTTTCACAAATATTAAGCAAACAGTCCCTTTCAAAAATCGTTGCCATTAAAAAGAAATAAATACTGAGTAAAATATGTTTTGAATAATTATATTTTTAATTTTTGAAAATGTTACAAATTTGGTTTTCAAACAACATTATATAACATTAAAAGAGTTTAAGTTACGTCTTTACCAAGATCTTTTCTGATTTTAGAATGTTTTTTTCTCCGTGTATGACATGAAGGAGTTGGGTTGACCCTATCGTGCAACTATTTATAGAAGAACCACTGATGAGCCTTGGCTTATTCGGAACTCGGCACTCGGTTGGGGAACCTGCAAGCCATTGGGGAATTCCATTGAATTTGAATTCCGTTTGCTGTTTATTCCTTAAATATTCGCCTTTCAATTTCCATTAGTCTGTCATATTTCAGTCGGTTTCGTTTCACTCTGTAAATTGCCTTTTACTCCGCTTTTCTGAAATATTAAGTACTTTTTCATTTCCTTTTCCGCCGAGAATCCCTACGCCTTTTGCCTGTGTACCCACATCCACTGCCTCTTCCTCTGCCCACGGCTCGATTTCTGTTTGTAGCGCCGCGAGAAACAAAAACAAAATTTGTTTGCCATAAAAAATTGTCGCGAGTTACGCGGCTGGGTGACAAAATGTGGATGGCCGCCCCTTTGTACCTTCCTCCCCTTAATTCCCACCCTTACCCGCACAATTGTGGCACGCCGTGGCTTTCCACTTATTTTCCACGCCAAACAGCTTTGTATTTCGCTGGGCGCTTGTATTTTTGTTTGGCTTTCCTTTCTCGACGCTTTTCTTGTACTGTGCTCATTTATTTTTTATGTGTCTTGCACCTGAAACGACACACATTCAGCGCGTTGGCGAAGAGAACCAAGGGGGGAACCCGGCCTGGCATTAAAAATTTAAGTTTTATGTCAATGAATGTCCTCCGTTCCGGCTTTTGTTTGCCGCTTCGACTTCCTTTATGGGCATTTTTCACGGTGTTTTCCCAGAGATGTTGATATAATTTGATCCCCAAGTTAAAGCCGAAATTAACATGGAACTGACAGAGGGCAAATGGTTGCCAAAAAAATAATGAGGCCCATCAAACGTGTCTTCGTGCCGGCTTAGGCAAATCATAATTTATTTATAATAGTTTGGGCCTGAGGCTCGGTTACGAGTACCATAAAAAAGAGGGAACCATAAACACTTTTTAGTTGCCCTCAACGCCCCAGCATGTTTGGTTGGGGCATTCCATCTTTTTGTATTCGCTCATAAACTCATTTTATTCCCAGCACGTGATATTTGTCCACATATGCGAAACTTTATTAGTTGAGCACTCAATGAAAAGGCCATCAAAGAAAACACTCGCCAGGGTCTGCCAGCTGTAAGGGGGAAATAAAATTTACAACATCACCAAACAGTTCCCCAATGAATTTGCATTGTCAATCATACACAGCTTTTTTATTCGACTTATTTCATGTTATTTGTTTAGCAATTGGCAGCTGCACTTTATGAAATATTTTTACGATTCACTCTCGTACAAGCGAAACCAATTCGAACAAAGTTGAAAAAAGAAAATGTTCTGCCATCAATTGTCATCAATATCCTAGGTCCTAATCTGTCAAGCGGCCTGGGATTTTTCGTGTATCTGTGTGAGCTTTTATCTGCTTGCCACACGCTTAGCCACAGAAAAGCCACATGAATTTATGGTAGGAGCTGGCACTTAATATATTTTTCAAAAATAAGACAGATGCTCAAGTGTCCTTGGGGACGAGCCTTGTTTGATTTAGTTTATCCACACTGATTGTTGTTTAGTGACTGTCAAATTTAAAGCTCTTTACATAATCAATACGAAAGATAAAATTCTCTTAAAATGTGGTCGATTGACACTTAATACGTATGAAATTTTAATAATCACACTTTGTAAATGTTATTTGCTCAAAAATGGATGAAGGGCCAACCAACTTCATTAGAAGATCAAAACTTGGCCAAAATAGAAGCAAATGGCAAACTATAGGAAGCAATTCGGTGTTTTAATTTCGCATTTTAAATAGAAGTACTAACACCTGTGCTTTAGAACAATACACATTAACTCCACAAACACCTAATTAAAATCCCTTATAGATAAATTCCACTGAGGTTACCCTGTAATTCCAGCTCGACCACTTAGTTTCAACCTAATTAACTGCCATGTTCAAGTTATCCGCTCTGAATTTAGCTTCCAGCGCTAATGCAAAATGTATTTTAAATTGGATTAAGTGTCAAACATTTTGACATTGTGCCAACAATAATTTAGCCTGTTGAATTTTAATGCGATTTTTGGTAATATAACCTTAGCCCGCCCATTCAAAACCAACACACCTGACCTGTCCACCCCCCACCTGCACAAATACATATGCATATATAGATGCTTGTGCAGTGATAAGTGCGACCCATGTGTCAAATGAAAAATCAATACTATTACAGGCACAATGCACATATGGGGACAAACATGTGTACAGAGATGTAAATAGCTGGTTGACATTCTGACATCGTCGAAACGAACGGGGAGCCTTTAAATGTGCCCCCAGACATTATTAGGTCACTTGTGGCTACATTTTGCAAATACATTTATGCACATGGGGAAATGGAAATCTGGCCGTAGAAACAAATTTAATTTGCCAGCCCATCGCCATTTGGAAATTATAATAATTGCTAAAATAATCGATTTTGGCCGGGGACCTGACATTGGCTAATGCATATTAAATTACCATAATACAAATGATATCCCAGCCACTCACATATACACGGTACACACACGGACACACTCATACCCCCTCGGCATACCCTACAAAAGTTGTGTCAACAATGTGAAAGATAAACAATGCCAGCTCCCATATGTATACGTGTGTATCTGTGTGCAAGGATATACATACACAGGAGCAAAGGAAAACTTGCGAGTCAGCTTCTTGCTTTTGTTGTTGTTTCGGGTTTTGTTTCACAATAATAAAGTGCGGCTGCAGCTTTAATAACTTCTGCAGTCAACAAGAGCGACAACAATAACAAACACAGTCCCCAATAGAGACAAAAAAAATATTTAAAAAAAAGTGCAGAGCGGTTTGAAAAGCTGGGAAAACACACAGAAACTGCGGAGATGCAATGGTGAAAGTTCAGCAGAGAATGGAGCTGCATTCTAATATGATGGGACCGCAACTAGAAAAGTTGCCAACCCAGTGGCAGCCATGGTGGATGAGTGCTTTAGGGGGCTTTCAAGGGTTAAGGGGCCACAGGAGCAGCACACAATACCAGAAGACGAATTACATTTGTCGCGCTGTGTTTGCACATATTTAAGCAACTTAAGAATTAGCCAACTTTGCTAGGAAATGCAGCGCAAAAATGCTGGCAGCCAATGGTTCATTCTCTCATCACTCACACAGAAAAAAATAAATCGTATAAGACCTTTAAATCATTTAAGTTGGTTTCACTTTGTCACATATAATTTGGTTCTTTATGTATAAATTAGTTTAACAGGGTTAAAGAGCAAGGCCCTGTAATATTCTATATTTCTTACATTGCTACTTGATTTAAACTCTTTTTTTGAAATTCCATTGAGATTTTTTAGCATTTTTGCCAAGACGCCCAAACTCAACGAATAAATACATACAAACATAATATACATTTCTTACCATCAGAAAATAGGTCAATTGCACTAAAGACTTCTTTAAAATAAATAAATATATATCATATTATGTACCATCGAGCTCCTCTTTTAACTAAATACCACTTAACCTATCAATATTGTATTGGAAAGTATATTTTTTATATTTGCCGTGCAGTCAGTTTCTCAGTCAGACAACCATTCTGGATAGCTCTGGAGCAACCCAATTTGAGTTGCCCGCGCTTTGCAATGCAAAATGCGAAACTTTTTGCTGCATAATCGCAGGCGCAGCACTTTGGGTCAGGCCAAGCAAAACAAAAGTCCGTTGGAAGAGGAGCAAAGGGGGGCAAACAAACTTTGCCGGGACTGCGCATAATGAAGCAACGCAACAGACAAATCCATCTCCGAGTGTGGACAAAAAGTCCGGGCCTGGAATACGGGTCCGGGCAAAGTTTCTGTTGCCAAATGCGAAAAGAATAAGACGCGACGAGCGTCACAGTTTACTTGGCATTTACATTTCCGCTCTGCCGGCTGCCACCCGAAAGTTGTTTTCCTTCCATCTTTTTTTATGATTATTTCAGCTTCATTTTTCATTAAGAGCCAGGCAGTGCCAAAGCCACAGGACGAGCTGATGGCCTCCTTGATTTATGCGCATTTCATGAGCATTTCGACGGCTGGGGGCCGAGGCACGTGTCCTTGAGCATTGTTTTTTGCTAGACAAATGTCCATTAGCTGAGTGGGGGTGTTGGACCAGGAAGCCAGCTTCAGTTTTTGGTTTTTTGCGCTCCTTGACTTTGAGTCAATGTATTATGGGTTTCCTGATGCTTTTCCATGTGTGTTTTTTTTTTGGAAAGTTGTGCTTTTTTATTCGTCTTCGATTCGCTTTCAATATGAATTCCTAATTCGTTCGATTTTGTAAAGCTTTGCGGCACACACACTCACGACCTGACCTATGACCTCAGCTGCGGCATTTGGGCACAACAGCTGTCAACGCCCACGCCCTCGCAACGCCCACGCATTAACCTTCGTCCTTTGCAGGCATTCGATTTGTAACTTATATTTATAAGTTTAGTTAAGGAAAATCTATTTCCATGCGAACATCTGACGCGAGGCAGCAAGTAGAACTCTTGTGGCAGAAATAAATGACAGCCAAATGCTGATGGGAGTGTTATGTAATGAGTTCTCATTTCCATTTCCATTTCCATGTCCATGGCTAACCAGGAAACAATGGGCACAATCAATAAATTGTCTCTAGATTCCGGTCACCAAAATCATTTGCTGTTGGCCAAATTGAGGTTACTGTCATTTGCGAAAAGAGAAACAGATAGCGAAACAATGTCATTTGATTGAGACTTATTCTCGAGCTGGCCTTGTTTGTGTTCTGACCTGATGAGAAATGATAACATAGAATCCAGGACAAATTGAAAAGAGAAGTTTATGTGAAAAATGGCAAAAGCAGGCAAGTACTGCTTGGAATTGAGGTCTCGTCCAGAGAGGGACACAATTAGGATAACTTTACCTTTACCAGGGCCATCAAACTTTATTAAAACCCATTTATTGTGCTCTTCTTTGCAGGCTGCGCAAGTGATACAAAGCCGAGTTTAATGAGCTGGCTGCAGCCGAAACACATGAGACTGCCGCAGCACTTGTCCCTGGCCAACGGATCGAGCCAACTATTAATGGCAACAGGCTGGAAGTTTATGCGAAAAGTTTCTGAAAGTAATACGCAGAGAAAACACAAACCGAGCTAAGTTCCATCAAGCAACAATAAACGGGAAATCGCGCTGGGGAAAAACGCTTAAATCAGCACAAGAAACCGCCGAGCGAGAAGGAGGAACGCAGAAAAGTTTTCCGACAACGGATTTCCATTCGCCGAGCACCGGCATCATCATCACCATTTCCCTCGATTCTCTGTTATTGTTTCGCCAAGGATTACATATTATGCGATAAACATGAAATACACAAACGATACACGAATCATTGTGTTCATTTGCTGTTTGCTGCAAGGTGAGTGCAAAAGTGTTCAATGCCATTTTGTGGGGCTGAGTGGGCGATATGGCTTATAGCCAGCATTTCCAGTTCAATGCCTGCGCGTGTCGACACCTTGCCAGTCAATAAAAAGCAAATTGTAACTGCTCGACAAAGTCACTTGTGGCGTTTTAACACCCAAACGCACATATGTAACTCAGTGTGCGTGTCGGCAGCCCGAAAAAAGGGCATAACCGCCCACTAATCCCCGACATACAAAACCCCGACCCACCCGAATCCCCGCTGACGACCTGCTCGTTTCACTTATTTCAGTTATTTTTCTTGTGTGCCGCACGCGGGGCGCATACAAATGAGCGGGGCACAACCCACAGCCCGAGGTGGCCCGGCAATTTTCGCTTTATTTTAAATAAACATGATAATTTTTTTAATAGAATTTTCCAGGGCTTAATGTGTGCGTAGGTTTCAGCAGCCAGCCTGCTGAGTAAGCTGTCAATTTGCGTGCGGGCCGAGGTTGGCTCAATTTTCATTCGCATATGCATCTGTCAAGTGCAGCCGCGTGAACGTGACTTGACAGACGGAGTTCTTGGGCTCTGCAGTTTTCCGGCTTTCCGGCTGCCAGCTGCATGTTAACCCCCCGGGGAAATCATTCACACGTATTAAACGCCAGCATAAACGCACGAGCGGAGCGGAGCAGCAAGGGTTCCCCCATAAATTCCATTTCATTTCGCAAATATGTGATCGCACCTAGAGTGCAAAACACGGCAATCGATTTCCGAAGGGCAATCTGCAGACGCTCGCGATTTGCGCACCAGAAATAATCGGGTAAAACTTTGGCAAATTGTTTGTGGAACGTGAGGGAGTCGTCTTGCGACAGCTTCTTGCCAATATTCCACGCATTCCATTCAACTTAAAGTGGCCACAAATACGTCCTCGCCATGTGATCAAATATTGCGCATACGCCGTGAGGGACGACAGTTTACATGTTGCTTCCATTGCCTTGCTTCCCTCCATTGTTATTCCTCTTTTCAATTACACGCCAGCTCAGCAACTGTTTTCCCCCCGATCTCCCCCCTTCCATTACCCATTTTCCCTTTACCTTGCTTCCCTTTTTTCCTCCCTGTTGGCTCATCACCTGCGGTTATTTTGATTTTAATTTGCTCGTTTCTCGCTCGTCAGTTGCTGTCGCTGTTGCTCGTGCTGTTCCTATTTTATTCATAAATGTTTTGTTGGCTGTCTCACCATTGCATGTGTGTTAGTTCGCCTTGTCAGTGTCGCTTAGGGTGGAGTGGCCATTTTGCCTGCGAGAATGTGTGTTTGTGTGTGTGTGTGCGAGGATTTGCGCCAGATTTGTGTCAACTTGAATACATCAGAAGCGCTTGAACAGATTTGCATGCTGTTTCTGTTTTTCTTGCCGTTGTCGCTTGTGGTGGCTGCAAACAACAACAAAAAATGCACACGCAATCGCGCGGCGGCAACGGGGCGTATGAGTACTTTCGCCATCTCTCTGCGAGCCTTTCAAAACTGTTGCATACTTTTTTGCGCCGCATTGTTCTTGTTTGCCCGCTGCAAGGATAGCCTTTGTTGTTTTGTTGCTCGGCTACTGCGCAAACTAAACTAAAACTATCCCAAAGGCTTTTTCATTACAATTTCGTCTAGGTCCTTTTTTTTCGCCCCCGTTTGCATTTCGCTCTCGCTGTTTTTTTAATATAATTGTTTGCGCATTTAGCACAAGGCCAAGCACTCGTCCACCACCCACAACCCGCCACCGCAGTAATTGTTTTTTAAACGCATTTAATGAACAACATTAAGGGGAGTTTAAGCTGTCAATGCCACAATAAATATTCATCAGGTCGGAGCGAGCCGCAAAAAAAAAGTGCGAAGCAAAAGCGAACGTCAGAGTTTTTAATGAAGTCTAGACGCCGCAAATAAGAAATACAGCCTTAATGAGCCTCTGCTCGGCTCCAACTTGGCCCGCATCCCACCACTATCAATGGCAGCCGCCACTCCTTGTTGTGTCTTCCACTTTTTTGACACTTTTCGGCAACTTTCTGGCGGGTCGAACCTATCGCATTGTCTGCCAGCTCAGGTTTTGGGCCAACATTTTCGAGCAAAATGATTTACCAGATAGTAAAGTTTTCCAGCCTCCGTGAGTGGGCCGCATAATTGCTGCGAAGGCGCAAGCTCATTAGTGGTATAAAGTTAAGGGCCGTTCAACGGATCCCACTCCTCCACCGAATCGCCCATCATTGATAGCAACTAAGCTGCTACAACCGATTTTTGTTGCCAGCTTTATCTCCTAATGGCGGCCTTCATTATGCGCTATTTGGCAGCGCACAGTGGGTCAGCTTACCTTGGGCCACCACCCTTCCTTTCCGGAGGTGCAGGCTCCTCCTTTGTTTGTCTTCCTACTTTCCACTTTCCTGTCCTTCGGTTCGGTTCGTTTCCCCTCGCTTCGCTCCCTTTCGTTCTGTTTGCCAATTTTATCGAATTATGCTAAACACCAGAAAAGTTGGGGGACTGCTGGACTTATTTAACCTGCAGGTAAGCTGGAAGGCAACCCGTGGGCTGCCAGTCGAGTGGGGGGCTTGCCCTGTTTAAATATGCGTTAATGAACGAAATTATCATGCATACTGAATGATATTTCCTCCTTCTGCCGCGACTCCGGCTTATGCATATTCAATTTACATCAAGTGCGCCGCGTTGCTTTGCGGATACTTTACATACTAATTTAAATATGGAACTTTATTTTAGAAAGATCGGAGGGAGCAAGCGATAGTTAAGTGGAGCTGGGAGTTTGAAACAGGCGAGCTGATAGGCAGACAGTTGAAACTTTTCCTCTCTTGGCAAATTCCTTTGTTGTCTTTGCCCCGGGCTACAGTGGTCGGAAGAAGAAAAAGGCCTACTTAAAATTGAACTTTATAAGATCAAAATATTTCTTGTCAATACAACCATCATAAACCGATATTCTCTAAATTGAACAGTTAACTAAGACTTGCATAACTGGAAGACCGACTTACGATTATTTTTTTGCAGCAGGGTATAGAAATTTATTCATTAATAGTTTTGTAACTTAAAGATATTTAGTTTGTGTTTAAATTAAAATTTTAATTGAGTTCGTTTCAAAAATCTCAAGAGAAATAATTTTTTATTTTAACCAAAATATTTCAAATATAAGACTCCTTTTTATACATAACTAATCCAATATCTATTTATTAGTTTTTTTTGGCATAAAGGGTAGAAAAAAACATAACAATTTCAAGTGCAATTCAACATTGTTGAAATGTTGCGCTTCTGGCATGCTTCTGTGTGTGTGTTTATTTCCACAAGCTCATTGAAATGGAATCCCATTCGGGGCACATCAACATGTAATTTAATTTCGGATTTGACTGTAAGCTTTCGCCGCTCAACTCGACTTGTCTCTTTTCAATGCAGGGTAGGATTTGGGGCCCGAGGGGTGGGTGTGGAAAGCTGCCATTTCGCTTGACTAAAATTCTTTGGGCTCAGAGCAGCCAGCCCGGCAGGCAATTTTAATCAGCTCTCATGCAACTTTGGCCCATTGTTTGCCGCTACTTTTCTTCCCCATACTGCGTTGTTGTTGGAATCTTACTTTGTTGTTTTTTAATTAACATTAAGACACTTTGTATCGTTGCCCAAATGACATGTGTTGGCTGCTCTTCGCAGGCTGCTTTGTCTTGGCTTGTATCGCGTCTGCAGTCGGCTCCTGGCCTTTGTTTTTCGGCAATCAGCTTAATAAAATGAAGCCCATTTGCCCACTGACATCAGCAGGTGGGCGTGGCGATGAGCGGACGCACCTCGACTCGTCCATCAAAGTCGCTGTCATAAAAATTCGCCAATTAAACAACGTGTTCCGTCATTAAAGCCCACGTCAAGTCCTTGAAATTCCACGCAAATTAATGGCCAAATGTAATTAGCATGGAAAAGTGTGTTAGAATGCAAAACTCTGTCATTCTCGAGTCGAAATTAAAAGCAATCTAATTCTGGTATTCCATAATTAAATACGAATTAGACATATCAAAATTGTTTACTGCAGACGACCATCAAGTATCCGTACTCGCAACCGCATCCGCAACCGCATCCGCATGCTAGAGTCCTGCCAATTCAATCAGTTTCTCGGGTCCTGAGAGCCGGCAAAGTTGCGCAGCTGCAATGGAAAAGTTTTGTTCGCCAAGTCCCAGATCAGAGTCTGTCAATCTGTTTAATCCCATTCAATTGCTGACGTCTTTAAGCGGCTGGCAAAGTTTGCCAGCTGCCAATGGCAGTGCCAATGGCCAATTAGCTGGCAGCCCTGCTCTTAATGGCCAGAAATTCAAATATTTATGACGACTGCGATTCTAATTTAACGCTGGCTGAGCAGCTTCGTTGAAATAAACCGCTAAACAGCGCATTTATTCTGGGACTCAGTGACAGCCAGGAAGTGTATAAACGGCCAATATCCTGTTGGTCGCTGTCCTTGGACTGGCGCTCCATAATTTGCGGACCGGGCACGGTGGTGCTGTAATTTTACAAAGGATTAAGCCCGATTACGCACTTATTTATTAATATTTACGAGCCGACCGACACGGCATTACAGATAGCCTGCGTCGAGGACAATGGCCACTCCACCTGCCGCCATTTATCCGCCATCCACCTTCGCCGCTTGTACATTTCAGAATTGCTACTCATAAATAAGCAATTCGCGATCAAACCGTGGGTCCATTTTAATTAAAACAATAATTGTTTGCCCTGGCCGTGGAATAGTGGTCTAGTTCAGAGAACAAATCAATTATGCAAATACTTACCCAACGCAGGCAGAAAATTTGCGTTGTCATGAGCAACAAAAAGTTGACTCGTCTTGACGGGCACGGAAAATGCGAGAAATATTTTAATTTTCCTCTGGCACTGTTGCGACTAGCGTAATCCTTGGCGAATGCCCAGCGGGTCGTCTGAACTGTGAACTCTGTCCTCCCCACTGGCAGCTCCAACTTGCTATCATCCCGCCCCCTGCGCCCCTTTCTTATGCAAATATGCGCTCTATATCCCCGGGCGACCTGCCAGTTTATTGATTTCCCAGACCCGTTGATTTCAATATTTGTCGGTCTCATCTTTTGCAAGGAGAAAATTATTTTGATATTTTTTTTTGAATAATATATTCGGTTGATTGGTGACACCTATTTTAGATTAAATTCTCATTTCGGACTTCGTGTTTGAAGTTATACAATGTTGTTAGTTAGTAAATAAATAAAATATGATGTATTTATAAAATCTTTTGATATTTTATCTTAAGCTATGCTTAAATATTAGTTAGAACTTTTTTATTCACTTCGTCCCGCTGTACCTTTTACATTTAATGTGACTTGTTGTAAAGTTCCACAGGCAGGATATAAATTTACATTCGAAAATTAATTAAATTGACCTAATTTATGTATTACATTCACTTATATGGGCTTTTGAAGGGAAGCTAAGATTCGAAATGATTCCGACTTGATTCCTTGGTGGAAATGTATTTTAATTAAAATACGTTTGATACGTTGGACACCCACCTTAACAACATCGTAATAAATAAGTTAATTTATGGCATATTAAAACCTTGTTCTGGACTAATAATTTATTATTTTCTTGTTACAGGTCTAGCCGTGGGCCTGCGCATGATCAAGGTCTCCATTCCCGCCTACAAGTTGCGCGGCGAGTCCGCCTTTCTGGAGTGCCAGTACGAGCTGAACCGCACCCACCACACAGTCACGGGTCTGCAGAGCCACTCGGACCACGGCCATGGCCACCAGACCCACGGTGCTGGTGGTGGCAGCAATGGGGAGTTCCACTATCCGGATGGTGAGGCGCTGGAGGAGGATCGGTCGCCGTACCGCCCGCGGATGCGCCAGAATCAGCGACAGCACGGCCAGCGGCCCAGGCAGCGGGAACCCATCGCCATGCGGCAGTACCAGAGTCTACAGAGTCACCAGCAGCCACCGGCTCCGCCGGAGAAGTCACCTTACGGGCACAGTGTTTACAGGGGAAGTGCTGCCTCCGGCTATCTAGGTGCCGCCCATGTCGGCGCCAGCACCCACAGCGGATCCGTGTCCGTAAGCTCCGGCGGCAGCAGTGGGGGACCGGCGGCGTATATGCCCGAGTTCGATCGCGAGGACAGTTTCGACGACAGCGTCGACCGCGAGGAGGAGGAGGAGGACGAGGAGGAGCAGCTCGAGGAGGGGGAGGCCCTGTACGCCATCAAGTGGTACAAGGACAACGAGGAGTTCTACCGCTACGTGCCAAAGGCCCGGCCGCCAAAAACCAGCTACCGGGTGGACGGCGTGCGAGTCATAGTGAGTACCCTTCAAAAATTATAAATTTATTAGGATAAGCATGAACTTTTATAACAAAGTTTTAAAATTAAGTTATATCCTCTAAAGACACTACATTAAATTGTATATAAAGGCAAAGAACCAACCATAAAAAACCTATTTTGATGGATTTCTCTTATTTAATTATTAATTTGAATTAGACTTCATGAAGTTTCTCTTTTAAATATAACCCATCTGTAGGCAACTGTATTTTCTGCTTTATTTTAATTAATATGTCAACTGATTTTAAAATCAATAAAAGTTCGTTCAGGCAGTAAATACAATTTATATTTTTTGATATTTATAGTCTAAATTCAAAAAGAAAAAAGGTTTTGAATTTAATAAAAACTTTTCTTCATCAAATCAATTTTCGTTTTAACTGAAAGGATAAATAAACTTTAAAGTGCCGGAGCTAGCTCCCTTTAATATATTCTAACTATACATTATACAATTGGTATTTTCGTTGATGTGTACTTATGTTAATTTTTTCTATTATCCATTGCAGGAGGAGCTCTCCGACGCGAGTCGCGTGCTGCTGCGCGGACTGACGCTGAACTCCACCGGACTGTACCGCTGCGAGGTGTCCGCCGAGGCACCCAACTTCTCCTCCGTTCAGGGCGAGGGTCGGATGGATATCGTCTGTAAGTACCCCAAGTCCCAATCAATTCAAAGTCACGTTCCGCATTTGCCTGCCCGATTTTATTATATTTGTTGCACCCCGCAAGCAGCGCACAACCAAGCAAATGTTTGCTCGAAAAATTTCACATCAATTACAGGCAAATATTGAAAGTGCAAATACAGGACAAATGCAGAGGGGTGCAGAGGGGCAGGTTTTAAATCTCTGTACCTCTTCTTATTGGCATCAAACAGCCGGAGCTTATTTGCTTGTTTGTTCAAAAGCATTCCGATACAGACGGAGTCCAACTGTGAATATTTCACAGATTTTTAAATTAATCTGCAAGGCATTTCAATAAGCGACTTACGATTCACATATTAATAAATGCCTGAGTAGAAGTGCTATGGAATTTTAATGAAAATAGTTTGAATAAATAATAGAAATACGATTTTAATATGCCAATAAATAAGGGTCATGTTAAGCCTTGCCTTTCATGCTGCGAAAAAGTATAATTTAAAGCTGGAATCTATTCCCAATAACGTAATCACTTTGGCCTTCATTTGGACTCCTCTATTATTCTATTATTTTTGGTAAAACCTTTAGCTATTTGAAATTGAAAATTTAAAAGCCTTTCCGTGGTTCTGTTTACCGTTTCTGCGGTCCATTTTCCGCCACAAGTCCGCCCACATGTACTGCCATATACATTCTGAATCGGATCGAGTTCATTTTTGCAGCTTCTGCCGTTTTCGCTTTTGGTCAACGACGACTAATGCGACTGGCGCTGTTGTTTGTTTGGGCTTCTTTATCGGGCCGGGCGGGCGGAAATGCTTTTAAAAAGTCATTCATAAGCTTTAGTTTCATAACAGCATATTTTTGTAAACCAACCCGGGTCTCTGCATTTTTTAACGCTTTACACACGCGCTAAACTTTGCTCCTCTCCTTTACCCATTTCTTTTTTGTACTATTTATTATTTACTTAAAACCAAATGGCCAGCGGCAAAAGGGAATATATAAAAACGGTGGGGGCTTGGTCAGAGGGGATTGCGGGGACCACGCCAGCGATTTATAAGTTAAAATGCCATTTTAATGGATATTTCCGCAGTCTGGCCGCTTACAACATATTTTGTGTAGTGCCCCCAGAACATCCAACCTTCCCTCCTCAATCCTCTTTGCAATTGCAGTTGTTGCTGTTGGTTTATCTGTGTGTTTTATGTTCTATTTGAGCAGCGAAAAAATATTTATTTGTATATCCCATTGAAATCGCCTGTGCAAAAGGGAGGAAGTCCCCCAAAAACGGAGTATGTGTGCCGGGTAAATATTTGCCGGGCAAAGCAACACAAAAAATTGTTAATAAATTACTCGACCAAGGGGCGAAAGCCGCAGCAAATATTTATTGGTAACTGGTTGCGGGCTTTTGGCCACGTAAATGGGGGAATGGTAGATAACATCAGAGGGGATAATATCCAGTATTAATCCCCCTCATATTTATGCAAATCTTATATCCATAATTGATGTATACATTTACCGATTCATTTCAGTTCTGCCGCGCGATGGACCTCACATAAGGGGACAGCAGTATCAGTATCAGATCGGCGAATACTTGTATTTAAATTGCACGTCCGGCAAATCGCATCCGGCCTCGCATTTGCAGTGGTTTGTCAACGAACAGCCGGTGAGTTTGTTAACACCGCATACATTTTCCCCGCCCCTTTCAGCAAATAAAACGTAACAACACTTACCCTTTTTTTTGATATTTGGGTCCGCACCTAAACGGTCCTTCGTCCTCCTGCCCACGCTAATCAAGAGTCTGCATGAGGAATGGCAGGAAAAAATGTAGAAATTATGCATACAGTAAATATTTAAGCCTCTAACAACGCGGCAGACAACGAACCCCGAGGAAATACGGACTCAGCTGGGCAGGTTGTTGAAATAATTTCATGAACAAAAATCATGTAGACGGGCAGGCATCGAATACATTTTTCGGGTTCTCCTCCCTGCCTCGCTTTTGGCTTTGGCATGTTTTATGGCCCGGTGTCGGGGACTTAGGCGAGGCAGGTGTATATAGAAGGAGGGGGGTTGAGAGGTCTGAAACTGGGACTGGGCCATCCATCTGGCCGAAAGCTCGTTACATGTCTGCCGTGGCCGGAACACAAAAATCGAGAGGCGGCGAGTGGGTGGCGCACTGCATTTTATCGTCGACGTTGACTACATGGCACTCAAATTGTGTGAATCGAGGCGTTAAGGTACGAGTTAGTTCATTGTACCATGCTGACTTCCCCTCCTCAATGCGGAGGGTTCGTGCCTCTCGTGCGCTTTGTATAAATACGAGGAAAATCAATAAGTGCGATTAGGCACGATTCCCGGTTTATTTGCCTTCCAACAATGGCAGCTGGAAACATCCCTCTTTCATCACCCTTCCTGAATAATAAAGACCCCTACTTCATCCGTCAAACGTATAAGTCTACAGAACAAAGCATTGTGGAACATTTATTTAATAACATTTGTCTGGCCCGTACAACATGTCGTGTACTTCCTATCCCGCTAGGCATTCGTGCAATTTACAATAAAAGTGTCCATCAGAATGGGGAAAATATTTCTGCAATTCAACGAAAAACTTATTATACAACAGCACTCGGCCAGGCCGCAAAATGCGTGGAAATAAATTTTGGCGGCATCTTGGGGGAAAGTTTTCTGGAATGCGTCGGACATTCTAAGTGCCCTCATTTTATTGCCAGCCTTCCTCATTTCCCTGTTTTTTTCGTGAGGCTGGTCAGGACAGCTGTCGGCATTTTCGGGATGTTTGTTGTGTCAGCAGGGTTTTAATTTATGCCTTTAAAGTTTAAAGCGAAACACAATGGAGGGTCGGGCAAACCAATCGGCTAACAAATGGCAACAATTTCGCTGGCAAAGTGCTAACCAATTCCCCGACCCCTTGAAACCCCGAGGAAAGACCGAATTCGAATTCCCATTCCGATTACCCTCGCAGAACCCAATTTGGAAGCAAATCGAAAAAAGCAGCAGGGAAAAGTTGAAGTTATTTATTTGAGCGTTTCACATTTTTTATCAGGTCTGCACATTTTTCTTATTTATGGCAAATGATTTTATTTCTTTTCGAGCCAAGTTTAAGTGCGGACGCCCCCATCCCATTTGTCCGCATCACCCGCTCCATATCCGCCCCTCGTGAAGGCAGTGCACTCTGCTGACAGCAGCAAACACTGAAAGGGAGGAATTATCAAGCTCTTGTAATTGTAACCTTCAGCGGAATTGGAGCTGGAGACTGCGACTCCGAATCCGGCTTGGAACACAAAAGCGTACCCTCAAGCATTTGCCAGACATGTACCAGACACGCCCATTGCCGGTCCCGTTTCCGTTCTGTTGCTCATACGCCGCGTGTGTCAACCCCCAGCACTTAATGGGAGGAAGCTCCCGATGCAGACTTTTAATTCCGTTATACACCGCGAGCAAATCAGAAATCACTCTGGAAAATAAAAAGAGAAGGATTGGGAACTAAAGTTAAGAAAAATTAATGTCAGTCAAAAAGGTTTTCTAGCCCTAAAAAACAATTGTTTTCCGTTCCTGATTTTGCTCCTACTTAATTTTTTTAAGTCCGTCTAAATAAATTTAATATTAGAGTGATATGATTGCAATAGCTGATTATAATTTAATTAACAAGATATAGTTTAAGTATGCAATTGTGGAAATTCTTCACTGCCATCGTAGATAATATTCACTTAAATAAAGCCATTGCAATCATCTATGAATATTTGTTTCCGGTCCATGAAAATTAAATTTATATTTCTATTTGTTATATAGACTCTAATATGCTTAAGTGTTTGAGTGTCAGACAAAGCCAGGAAAGCAAAATTTTAAAAAAATAATGTGTTGATTCAGTACAAAAATTAAAATACCATTAAAACTTTGTTAAGTCCTCTTAAGGGATTACATTTTTACTACATTTTTGCTTAGAGCTTTTCCCGCAGTGCAGCATTTAAGCTCCCCATCATTTCAGATCCTCGACGAGCACTACCTGCACAAATACAACGACATCGTGCACAAACACGGGCTAATCACCTCGACTTTGGGCCTGCAGCTGCCGCTGGAGCCGCGCCACTTCCACGACGGCGACATGCGCGTCAAGTGCATGGCCAGCATATCGCCGGTCCTGTGGAAGGGGGGCAAGGAGAGCGTCCTGCAGCGGCGGCCGGGGATCATCGACAACCGCGAGGCCATGTTGCTGGGTGAGTGACCTCGTGGCACTGCTGCCAACTCCAGCTCCTAACTAATTCGATTTTCCCCAGTGAAAGGTGCAGCCTGCAACTCACAGAGCAGTTTGCTGCGCACCCTGACCATCGCCATCATTCTGGCCAGAACCGGGCAATGGCTACTTGGCTCGGAACTGACCTAAGCGAGCCCGCGAAGATGGCCAGCACTCCATTCGACTCGTTTCAATTAACAAGCATTCATTTCAATTCAATTCAATTCAATTGCAATTGCAGAGCATAAATGGTGATTTTGTATACTTTAAGTGTAATATCCTTAGTTCTTAAGCGACAAAAGGAGCAGGCGATGAAGGGGAACTAAATAGAGACAAAATGGGTAAATGTGTTATAGCATGTAAAAATCATTAAGCAACGCGAGAAGAAACGAGTTAAATAGTATTAAAGGCAGGGGAGGACTCGCTTGTCCTCAAGTAGAAAACTCCTGTGCAGAGAGACACAGAGAATTCAATTAGCAAAATTGTTAAGTAACTAAATTCCAATCCCATATATATGACATATCCCCCCGCCCATCGTCCCCAATCAAGCCCGGTTGAGGGTTCGTTGTGCGTAATTTCTGTGTAAATACTTGAATGGAAACGACAAAGTCTAGGGCAAACTTTGCACTTTTGTCAAATAATGTCTGAGTGGCATCAATTCCGAATGGTAGCTGGAAACTTTGCCATAACAGATGCTAAAACTACATTATTACAAAAAGCAAAAAACAAAGGGGGAAAAGACAGCTGGAAAAGGGCACTTTGCCCCTCTTTTAGTTACGATTCCGGCAAGTATTTGCTTCCTGACTCCGAAAAGTATTTTCAATTGTATTTAGTTTTGTAAATTAAGTCCGTAAGGGAGAAGGAAGCTCGAAATAAAATTATCTTGTTGATGGATCAATTACTGATAACTTTAACTCTCCGGCTAAAGTTGAGACATTTTTAGTTGCCGCACTTTCTATTATATGAACTGTATAAAAGAGAACCCGGATATGTGTCATATCCGTATTGATAAGAACCTTTGCTAAACTAGAACTATAAGCTAGGTGTTTAAGCTGTAGCCGAAATGTCCCCAAAAGATTCCCCTACCTGTATGTAGCAATACCTAAAAGCTCCCCAAAGATATAACTACTATATATGATGATATGTATATGTATACAATAAATGAGTACGACAAGACCCCTTTCTCCCCCAGAGTGTTTAAACAAATATAAATGTGAAAGCAAACACCGAGTTGTCTTCTTATTTTTCGCGCTTTTCGCAGATTCCCATACAGATACGCAACCGGATACGGAAACGCTATCTGCTACACGCACACGGGCCTTGCAGCAGACATTAACACCTGAAGGACCAAAGTTCCTCCTCTTCGTCTCCCCTCTTTTCGGCCCCCCCATTTTGCAGAGGTGTTAAAACCGTGGTTGCCTCTGCAGCGCCAACAAACAAGATACAAAAAATTGTATATATATAGAACATAAAAGCGGCAAAGTTAAAATAACACGTACAAATTTTGTATGCAAACAAACCGCAACACACATACGCACACCCACGCTTACCCACTCACACACACACTTTTACACAGAGGCACGCACGGAATGGCGGCGAATGAAAAAATTGCGTGCAGCCTTTTAGGCGCTGCCGGCTAACACAACTTGGTTCGCTTTTATATGCCATTGTAGCCGGCTCCTCTCTCTCTGCTTCTTCTTGGCCAACATTTTGATGGCGCACTAAACTTTATGCGCGGCACATAAATAGAAATGCACGCAAAAAACTTTCAGAAAGCTAGAACCGAAATAAAAACAGTGGAGTTACGAGAGTGGGTCTGTATGTTCTGCTGGCAACAGCGAAGGGCGGTCACACGCAAATGGTTTAGGTCAGAGTGGAATCCATGCGTGGTGCGCGGCAATTCAACCGATCTGTTTACCTTGGGCAAGGTAAGTCACCTCTGACCAGCCCACCTTGCCAGCCACACACCATCACCACCCTCGAGTTCAATCTAATCTGCCTCTGCACTTGGCCAGTTTGGTCAAGATTTATGTGTGCCTTGCATTGCATAAGCGGCGCCATTTAAATGTCTGGGCTTAATTTGCTACACCGAAAGAATGAACTTACTCTTTTTGTCCAGCAATGTCACTTTAAAATAAGTTTTCTAATTCGATACAGCGAAGCATTTACTTAAATCATAAAAAATAGATTTTTGATGAGAAGGTTGTATTTACTAGAAAAATTAATTTCTAAAATTGTATAAATGTTAAACAAATCCAAATGGACTTAAAACGTTTAATATAAACGGTTTATGTAAAAATTTAGAAAAAATCCAGTACTTTCAGTGCATCCAAATACAAGAAATCAGCCATCATATGTTCGGACAGTGGGCGTGGCCAGTTGAAACAGGGCAATAGCATGGTGAGGGTAGCTAAAAATTTATTGCCAGCGATTGCATAGCTGATAAATTTATTTTGCACCCAACTGGGCGCGGTCAGAGCCTCACAGCGATGGTGTTGGAAATTATGACGCGACAATTGACGGGGCCACTGCCCAACCACCGGACCACCTAGTCGGCGACCTACCCAACCACCCACCTAGCCACCCAACCACCCACTTAACCAACCAAAGAGGTGCGTGCGGAAGTGGCTGACTAAATTGCAGCGGGCTTGAAACAACAATTGCTTTTGATTTAAGTTGCATTAAATTAGTTTCCACACGGCGGCTGATTAATGAGTGCAGCGAACTTTTTGACAGCGCCAAGTTGCCGCCCAGGAAGTGGGCGTGGCACAATAGAAAGGTGGAGTCTTGCCGCAGACACTTAATCATAAAGGTTGCGTTACGCTGCTGAAAGAAGGTGATCAGTGGGAACTTGGCAGATGGCAATTTATTACTATGGGTAGGACTAAAATTTTAAGTAAATATTTTTTTAAAAACTTTTCAGTTTCCCCTCTGCATTGATTTGTGATAACAACTTGGATTGGTTGCCGTAGTGCTGCGCAGAAAAAGGTTAAAACACTGCCCATGCATTGCCATACATAATTTATTACGCCACTCCCGATGCCTGTTAAAGGCAAATCAAAATGCACTTTATGGTGCAGCGAGCGATACGGAATGCAGCAAAATAATATGCCGTTGCCATCATTTTCTCGTCGATTGAAATGCAGAAATGAAATGGCTGGAACGACCGTGGGTGGTCGTGGGTGGTCTTGACCACTTTGGCTATTTGCATAATATTGATTCCATTTGGCCAGCCTCGCAGACATCGAACACGGCCCGTAATGTCATTTCGAGTATTTCATTCCCACCCACGACTCATCCTCGACATGGACCGTACAAATAAATTCGGCCCAACGAATTGGGTAAATGGAAACCCCTTGAACCGCACGAGCATATGAAAGTCATGAGCCACCACAATCAGAGTCCGCTCTTGAGCTGCCGGGTCTGAAAATTATGCAAATTGAGACGGAGGCTGATGAACTGCCGCCTCGAATGGCTACCAATAGAAAAAGGCATTTGACCGATGTTTAGCAATTAAGAGAGAGACCCTGGCCTGGCCTTGCTGGCCATCGAAAAACGGAACGATAAATGCTAAAATGAGAGCTGCCAGTTGCAGGGGAGTCGGAGTCCCTACTCTAATGAGGTTTAGCTCTCGAAATTCCTAAAACCGAACACCGGAATCGAGTGGGTTCGCCTTCGCATATGTCGCCTCTGCCATGATGATCTTGCAACTCAGGAAAATCCACCCGCCCATTTAGCCACCCCCAACTGGTGGCATTTACATGCGAAACTGGCTCGTTACGTTATGAATACGAGAGTTTCGAGATTTCGAGAGCCAGGCGCTCGATGGCCCAACACCAGGTCAGCTGGAAACTGCAGTGGGTCGCCTATTTACGACCCAAATTAGCGGTCGAATGATGCACTTTGTGCCGTCGCTCTGGATCTGACATGCTCATTCGGCTGACAAGGGAGCTGAGCCCGTGCCTCGCGGATATTAAGCCTTTGATTGATGGCCGCGAAATGTGGTAATAGTTTTCGGCCAGCTTCGCTTGAAATGGAGGTTTGGGTGGGCACTGTTTCAATTAGCCGTACCGAAGGGGAGGGTGTGGTGCCCTTTTTGTTGGTGGGGCAGCTGCACAAAGGCATCCACATAAAGTGGTTACAAGTATGCGGCAATTAGCATTTAACGAGCACCACATGCCAGCCACAATGTCAGGACACGGCCCAGAACAAGGCAGTGTCCTTTAGAAACTAGAAGGGGGTCCTGTCGACATAATAATATACACACAACTACAACTAGCTTACCCTGGCACCCACACATTGGGGGGACGGGGGAACACAACAACAATGTCATCGACAAAATACAAGGGCCAGCTCACCAGTGGCCGGGCAGAAAACTCTTTTGTTGTCCCAGTCAACAATTTGAGCACCATCCAAAACACGCCCCCCGGCCACCGCCCACAAAAATCCTGATTACTTAACTAAATATGGCAGCTTATGGCGGGACACGGCCAGTGGCCAGTGGCACTAAACTCTCTGATTTACACGATTTGCATACGCTCAGCCAGAGGCAGAATGTGAGGCTTTAATTAGCAGTCGCGGAGCTATATCAGCCAGCAGAACTCCACCTGACCCCGCCGAATATCCAATGAAGGCCAGGACAATGGCAAAAAACATTGGTGTGGCTGTTGAAGGCTTAAAGTTTCATTCAAAGGACAAAGGACCTTTTTCCCAGGACCCTAACGCTTTATCGTATATCCCTGAACACGGTTGCATTGTATCTAGTGCCCTATTTTACTAGAGTTCAGGGAAGTCATGCCATTATCTTAGGAGAATTAATGACTAAATATGGCGGACACTTAGTCTGATTTGCAAAATAAAAACAGTGTAAAATTTGTGGACTGTGAAAACTTTAAATTTAAAAAGAAAATAGTTTGATTTAAATCAGGTCTTTTTTGTACTATTTCACTGCGACTCTGTTAGAGAAATCTATATTTTCTGTAACCTAGTCAAATTGACTCGTAAGTTAGAAAGTGAAAACCCCAACACGGTTAATTAAGTTTTTCATGCCCCAAAATAAAACTTTCTTTTGTGTCCCACTTAGAGCCCATTCCTTTGGCGGGTTCATTAGCATGTCGCGTCTTCAATAATAACTCAGGGCAAAGACAGGCCAAGGCCCTGGGATCCAGGGTCTTATCAGTGGTCTCTTATCTGGGATACATAAATTCCAGCCTCGACTTGGCGTCGGCAAAGTTTCTTGGGGCTCTGTTTTGGAGG